AAATTGAAATCTCCAACAACAATAAGATTTTCAAGGGATGATAATTCCTCAAGTTTGTTAATAAGCATATTGTCGTGAGTAAGTACTGTATCGGGAGGTCGATATATGCAAACTATATTAAATATGAAAGAGTTTTTAGTAATAAGTAAGTGGATAATTTCTATACCGGGTACGTCTATTGTTTTATTACTGATGGAAAAAGTGTTGGTAATTTCATTTGCTAAATAGATGCATACTCCTCCCCCTCGACGAGTATCTCTGTCTCTACGAAATATAGTAAAATTATCAATGTTTACAATAGCATCGGGAATAGAAGAATTAAGCCACGTTTCTGTTAGGAGAATAATGTGAGGTTTTAAAAGTTGAACAGTACTTATAAATTCATTAAATTTGGACATAAGAGAGTTTAGATTCGTATACATAAGAAGCCAATCCGTAAATTTTAGTGCAGAAGAATTATGAACGAAATTTCATTATCTTTGGACAGCCATTCACATATTTAATCGTAAGGTCATTTTCTCCATTATTTTTACGAGTTTCAAGCTCAGTACGAAGTTCCTTTAAACGAAGTTGCTGCATAGGTGTCTTGTCATCAATAACAGAATAAGTTTCAGTAGATTTGTTCTCCAAAAGTTTATTTTTGTTACGAAGAATTTTTCGAGTGTGGTGTTCAGAACTCATTATCACTTTTATCATGCGGGGATAACGTTTATTTTGATTTGGTTTACCGACTCTATAAAATGTAACAGGACTTTCTTGACATCCAATGACTTCTAGGGCTAAATGTATTTTATTCTTATCATGATCTTTTTTATTTTGTGCGTCTCCTGTAGGTTCGGGGACGCCTCTAACCAAAAAATTTTTGGAACGAGATATGCGGTCAGCGGCTTCATTGACAATGCTGTCAGTAAATTCTGTTGTTGTAATAGAATCGAGTTGATTTAATTTATTGCTGAATTCAGATAGTTTAATATCAAAATCTTCAATTTTCTTCTTAATGTCTGCTTTAAACTCGATAAGTAGACTCTTTATTTCATTAATATTTGTAATGTTTGAACTGCATGCATTGCATAGTATACATATCCCACGTACTTTTTGCCTCGTAACTCGATCATCGACCGACAGATCCGTACAAGCAATGTGTATTGGTTTCTTACAGCCATCGCACTGGAGCTTTCTATCGGAGGTAGAAGTTAGCTTTGAACAATTAGCGCAAAACGATGTATTAGGCATGATTAACTTTGTGCTAGTTTTGGATATGAATTATAATTATTGGATTGATAAAACAGCAAATTTGTCGTTATCACTTACTTGAATGAATTGTTCAACTTTTTATAATAAATATGCTTTCTTTAAATATATTTTTAACTTTGAAAAATTGTATTTTTATAAATTGTGTCACTTGACATTTGTGAATTTGACAATCGAATGATTGTCAAATTCACAAATAATCTCTCATAATGAATGCTTATTTTAATCAAGGTTCTCTCCCTCGTCTTGGAAGTGGGCTTCAGTTACTTCTATATTTAAGAAATAAAATAAACTTGATTGCAATAATTATCGTCCAATCAGACTGGTTCCCACTCCTATTGTCGGCAAGATCATGGAATCCATTATTTCGGAAGCAATGTCTGAGTTTCTCCTTCGAGAAAATATCATCCCTCACCAACAGAATGGCTTAATCAAAGGCGGTTCAACGATCATAAACTTAATTCATTGTGTAAATGATTAGTCATTATTTTTAAAGCATCAGCATCCTGTTGATGTAGTCTACTTTGACTTCTCCAAAGCTTTCTACTTCAAAGATTCCCAAACGTCGATTACTACCTAAATTGGATTACCATGGTATCCGCGGAAAGATAAACATTTCGATTTAAAATTTTCTATTTAACAGATAGCTCAGGGTTCCTGTTGAAAAATACTACTCAATAGATAAGCGTCAACAGTGGAGTCCCACAATGATCAGTACTTGAACCGCTACTTTTTTGTATCTAATATTTAAAAAGGTTACTTCCGCTAAACATAGAAAAATGCGTTGTTCTATATATCGGCAAAAATGACCAGCAAACTTGAAATTGTTTTTGATCCGTAAATATTTTACACGTGTATCTCTAACCTCCGTTAGTAAACCTTACTCCATATATTTTAGATAAATTCCACTTGAAAATGTTCAGTGTAAAGCCACAAGACTGGTATACGGCCGTGTAAGACCTAATTATGAAGCTAGACTATCCATAGCTCATCTTGGAGCATTGGAGCAGTGACGTCTTTAAGGTGACCTAATTATGTTCTTCCATATTTTAAAATATTATTTAAAAAATGTAAATATTCACTTTAAATCAAGACCAATGATTAAGAGACCATAGTTACAAATTAAAGAGATCCAGCGACCTTATCTATATCACCTAAACGTCTGTGACCAAAATCTTTTGAACAAAAAGCAGTTTTAGGGCCTACCTCCATAGGTTCGGAAAGGCTGACACGGATGAATGCCTAGACTGCAAACACTCGGACACTGTGACACATACCATGTTAGAGTGTAACAGATGGATAGTAGAAATTAACAAAATGGAAAGAGAGACAGGTGTGAATTTATTACAGTGACAGAAATAATTGAGAGAAGGATTGAAAATAAAGCAGGTTGGCCTAACGTACACAACTATATCCGTGAAGAGATCGATAATAGAGATGTGAAAGTAAGACGGCTGGATCAACGACAAAGATAAGAGGAAAAGATGTTATAAGTTGAAGGTAGTGGGAATACCTTTTGATAAAAGGTAAAAAAGTAATTTATACTATATGAGTTAGACTGTGTGAGTAAGACTGTAGGGAAGGATGAAATTTCCTACTGGGAATGATATCGTTCTGGGTGTGATGAGGTTTTTCTTATGCGCTACCTGGAACAAGGTTCCCCTAACAAACAGTTTTTGGGAACAAAAACGGGGGCATAGCGAAAACTAACTAGGAGCTTTCTTACTGACAGTCTGTGGATAAAGGATGGTAGTGCTTTGAAAGCAATGCTCGATCTTTTAGCTGCCATTTCATTTTCTGAGGGCGTTCAGGTAAGGTTAGTTAGGTGGCATCCTGGACTAAGATGTCATTTGAAGATTTTAGATCCTCTTCTACAAAGACGAAAAAATATAGAGATAAATGGAATATTTAAATCAAGTTTAGAAGATTTTCGTGTTAGCTCTTTAATTTTTGATTTACACCTTTTTTACTGTGATTTATTAGAGCCATTACATCTGTAAACGTGCAGTATTTATATACAGGGTTATGCAATTGAACTGTTACCTATTTAAACGACCATAATTTTTTTGTGTGAAATTATTTTTTATTGATTTAAATGACAAAAATCTGTGAAAATAATTAAAATTTCAGAATCCACTCACTTTAGCTCAATGTGGCCACCTTTTGCCTTGACTATTGCCTTCAAACGATATAAAAACGAGTTGAATGCTGCACGAATGTGATCTTCAGCGCATTGCTTTCTTCAGCGCATCCATACTGGCATATTTTTTAGTCCTCACTTTGCTCTTCAAAATGGACCAGAAATTTGGTTTTTTTTGTTCTTTTCCGGCCGTTTACAGGTAGAGATTAAAAGAGAACACACTTTTCACGAGTGGTAAATTATTCTTCTTCTTCTTCTTCTTAACGTGCCCTATCAAGTCCCCTTGACGTTGGCGATTAACATGGCGAAACTGTCTCTGTCTCGAGCTATTCTAAAGAGTTGCTCAGCTTTCTTTATTTCTGTCCACTCTCTGATATTCTTCAACCAAGAGGCCTGCTTTCTACCAATTCCTCTGCGTCCTTCGATTTTACCCATCATAATAAGTTAAAGAATATTATATCAGTCTCTCCTTACTACGTGTCCAAAATAGGCCATCTTTCTACATTTGATGTTATCAAGCAGCTCGCGAGCAGCATTTGCTCTCTCAAGGACTCCCACATTTGTCAGCATAGCCGTCCATGGAATTTTTAGTATACGTCTGTGCAGCCACATTTCAAAGGCTCCAGACGATTAATGGTGAATATTTTTAATGTCCATGCTTCGACACCGTATGAGAGGACTGACCAAATGTATCATTTAACCATACGCTTTCGAAGTTGAAGTTTCAAGTTATCATTACAGAAGAATGACCTCATTTTTAAAAATGTCGTGCTGGCTATCTCGATTCTACATTTTATCTCTTGATCTGGATCTAGTTGTTCAGTAGTATGGCAACCAAGATATTTAAAACTGGACACTCTTTGAATTATATCACCATCAACATATAATCGTGCATCTTGATGTGCTAAACGGCTAAACACCATGTGTTTTGTTTTTGAACAGTTTATGTTTAGGCCAAACTCTTCTCCCACTGTATCAATGGCATTTAAAAGGCATTGTAATCCATTCATGTCATCACTTAAAATAACTGTATCGTCTGCATATCTGATTGTATTTATCAGAATTCCATTAACTTTCACGCCCCATTCCAAATTATGCAGCGCTTCTTTAAATATTCTATTTGAATATAAATTAAATAACACTGGGGATAGTATACAACCGTGTCTGACACCTCTTTGTATTTTACATATTTCTGTTGATTTTCCGTTTATGCAAGCTGTCGCTGTTTGACGCCAGTATAACTTTTCTATGAATCGTATGTCTTGACTATCAACTCCTTTATCTTTTAATATTGTAATTAATTTGTGATGCTGTACTCGATCAAAGGCCTTTTCATAGTCAATAAATACAGCAAAGACGTCTTTCCTTTGATCTCGACATTTCTGCAGTAATACATTTAGTGCAAAAAGGGCGTCCCGAGTTCCCAGTCCATTTCTGAAGCCAAATTGTGTTTCATCCTGATCTTCTTCACATTTATCTCTGATTCTACTGTGGATGATGCGTAGAAATATTTTCAAAGGTAAATTCTACTATCTCAAATTCTGATTAATGTATAAAAGTAAACTCCTTCTCTGCGAAATTTAAAATACAGAATAGAATCTTATTTTAGGTACCATTCATTTATTAAATCTAATCGGAAACAGACGAGCTAATATCTTATACATCGTTGACGATGATGTTAACAAATTGGAAAATATAAAAAAAAGTTATAAAAGATGTTTGAGTGAAACCTCCTTCTTAACCAGCAAAGATATGAATAAAGTTTTTGTGGATTCAAAGTAAGTATTTTAACCTTAAAGTAGGAAAGTTATTTGTATGAAGAAATTGATTGACATATTCTTCATTCAGTAATAAATTTAAAAACGGTAAAAATTTTAAAGGTAACCAAAGCGGCTTAATTGTGTTTAAGATTTCTCTACAAATATATTTCAAAGATAGAAATTATATAATTTAAAACTTATATCAATCAAAAGTACATTATAAATTTTTGATATGTTGTTTGAGTAACATTTTACCAATTCGAGAAGGATTTTTGCTTAGACGAGGAGATATGTTGTGGAATACAATTTTTACAATTCCCAATTTTCTCTGTTTACATCTTTAGCATCGTCTGTCTTGCCTTGGAATTATTAGAAGGTACAGATTAAAGCAAAATGGATTTTGGTGCCGTCAATGTAAATCTTCTATTGACTGAATTTCTAGTTTCAAAGCGTGATTGATTTTTCAGATATTTCTTTCAAATCTTCAATGAATTGGCATCAATACTGGATGATGAATGGTATAAATGCCCACCAAGTAAACCAAGGATTTTAAATTAACTTTTATTACTTTGCACCAGTAATTATCACGCAAGTGGAATGTTTTCAAATATGATAAATTAATAATATAGCATAAAACCTCCACTGTATTTACTTATTGAGCAAATATGGCAATATTTTTCGTTTCAGTTCAATATATTAGTAGTAGAGTAACCGGGGTTACAAAAATTGTCACTTAACCTGCCTCACTTTTCTCTTTTCATGAGTGACCTAATCCTGTCTTCCACACATTTTCCCAAAAGAAACACTTTTAAATTATTTTTGCCAATATTAAAATTATTCAATATTTTCCCAATAGCTGTTGCATCTTCAGGATCATGTCCTGCTTGCGTTTCCATTTTTGATTCATTCACGTTACAGACAATTATGTTAGAAGCACAACTATGTCTCTTAATCATATCATATATTATGATTTCTTCACCTTTCCTAGTGTTACAGTCATTACTGTCAACAGAATCTGATGATTTTTTTAAATATTTAATTTCTAGCTCTATATGGAGAAGGCTAGGAGTGCATTCAATAACATGGCCAAACTCTTTAAAAGCCACAATCTTAATCTGGAGATAAAAGTAAGGCTCCTACGATGTTATATCTTCTCAATATTGTATTACGGAGTTGAATCCTGGACACTAACTGAAGCAATGGAGAAAAAACTTGAAGCCTTCGAGATGTGGCTATACAGGCGAATTCTAAGGATATCATGGACAGACAAGATAACCGAGACCGTATTACGAAGAGTGGGCAAAAAAAGAGAGGTGATGTATACCATTAAAAGGAGAAAGTTGGAATATCTCGGACATATAATGAGAAACAGCACTAAATACAGATTACTGAAGGTAATCCTACAGGGTAAAGTATTCGGAAAGCAAGGAATTGGGAGAAGGAGAATATCATGGTTGAAGAACCTGAGGAAATGGTTCTCCACAACAACAACGAATTTATTTAAAGCAGCAGTTAAAATAATTATAGCCAGAATGATTGCCAATATTCGGAACGAATAGGCACTGAAAGAAGAAGAAGAAGCTCTATATGATCAATTTTCACAGGCAATTTAGAAATAAGCTTTATTCCATTCTGACAATCCTTACAATAAAATTTACGCAACGTTTTACCTTTGAGATAGAACTTCAGTTCAGAATACTTCCTATGTATGCATCTAGTGCGAAAGGTTTATAACCAATGTGTTTTACCTGTATAAACTTATAGAGCAGAGACTTTAACACTCACGCAAAAATCTGCGAATAAACTTAGAGTTACACAACGAGCCATGGAACGTGCAATGCTGAACGTGAGCCTTCGAGACCACATAACAAACCAACAAATCAGGCGAAGATCAGGAGTTCAAGACGTCATCGAAAGAACCACAACGCTTAAGTGGAACTGGGCAGGGCACTTAGCCAGAACACAAGATGGACGGTGGACAAGACGTATTATGGAATGGAGGCCCAGAAATTATAAAAGAAGCCGAGGACGACCACCGACTAGATGGACCGATGACATTAAACGTGTAGCGGAAAACTGGCTACAAGCGGCCCAGTGTAGAGAACACTGGAAAGAACTGAGGGAGGCCTATGTCCAGCAGTGGACGCGATTGGCTGATTGATGATGATACATCTAGTGCAGCTGTTAGAGTTTATGGTATCATCACAATATATTGTGTATCATTAGTATTAATATATTTGGTAATTCTAGAATAAATGTTTTATGTTTTAATAGTAAAGAGTGGTTTTTCGTATACTTCGCGCAAAAAGCAGAACTTTTTTGTGTAAGTTTATATTAAAACCTTTTTATATTTACAGAACATATTTATAAAATTGTATGAAAAATTAAATTTATCTTTTAAATTTATTTTAGGGTTGATTTTGTAATTTGCGCCTCACCTACTTATACACATGAAGTCATAGTGAGATCAGCACTAGAACATCACAAAGCTGTTTTCTGTGAAAAGCCTGTAGCTGTTACTTTAGAAGAAACTAAAGCTCTAATTGATTTATCCAAAAAGGTTAATACACCATTACTTAGCGCATTTAAACAGGTACGTATCATTCACCTATTTTTATAGTGTGAGTACGACAGCAAAAGGCAATGAGTTTTATTTTAGTTAGCTTAAGTAAAGGTTAACACTGTAAGAATAAAATCGATGGTTTACAACAGACCTTTCGTGGCGTCTGCTGATTCCCCGCTTTTTCAAATAGACAATATGATGTTAACAAAAATTCTCATCTGGAATGACGTTTTTCCAATGCCTTTTAACTGTGATTTGTTCCAAATTTAAAGATTACTGATTTTCTCGTGGCGTTTTACATTTTAGTTATTATATTTTCTCTAATTTCATACACATTTAATTAGAAATACATCTGCAAATGTATTATATGATTGCGCTAAACACTTTTTCTAATTAACCTCCCGAACATGGAAAGTTTTTTCTATTAATAACGACAGTACTAAAAAAACAGATGCAGCCAGAAAAATAGAGATGTATAAATTTGTTAAATACTACGCTAAAACTTACAACTAAAATTTTACAAGTGCTAATAAATTACAAAGCAAATTACTTAGAAATAACTAGAGTATAATAGACCAGCATTTTTGTGTCTGATTGACCTAAAACAAGCATTTGACAGAGTAAGACAGAAAGATGTAATCCATCTTCTGTGTTATAGAGAAGCTTTCCTAAATATCATAAAAACTATCGAATACATCTACCAAAATAACAAAATCGAACTTAGAATAGATGGACAAGTTACAGAACCTATAAAAATAGGCAGAGGAATAAAACAAGGGAATTCATTGAGCCTCATGTCCTTCAATTTAATCATGGATAAAATTATCAAAAGCGTTAACAATGAAAGAGGATACAGAATTGGAAACAAATAAATACAAACACTCTATTACACAGACAACGCAATATTGATAGAGGAAGATAGTCCACAGATTTAACATATGAGCAAAAGAATTTAGTATGACAATCTCATTTCATAACACTAAAACAATAGTAGTCAGCAAAGAACGAACCAAATGTAAAGTAAAAATTGAAGGCATCAGTATTAAACAAATAATTAAAATAAAATACCTAGTAATTACACTGTCTAGCTATGAAGATCTGCACAAAGAAGTGAGAGATCAAGTACAAAAAGCAAATAGACTAAAAGGATGCCTTAATAACACTATATGGCAAAACAGACACATTAACACTGAGATAAAGTCACGAATTTATAAAGCCAGTGTAAGACCAATAGTGACATCTGCCTTAGAAACTAGACCCAACAGAGCCACAAAGCAAAGGCTACTGGAAACGGAAGAGATATAAGTACTGAGAAGAATTACAGGAAATAAGCTGAGAGATCCAAAGAGAAGTGAAGACATTAGAAGAAAATGTAACGTACAGTGTGTAAATGTATAGACACAAAATAGAAAAAAGAATGGAATAACCACATAAGCAGAACGGAAGAGACATGTGTCGTCAAAATTGCAAGAGATAAGTCACCAATCGATAGAAGAAGTATCGGACGACCGCGCAAAAGATTGAGCGACAACCTTCCATAGAGGTATTAATGCACCAATAAACAAGCAAAATTACTTATAAATAGGAAGAAGAAGAAGTTCTAAAAAAATAAATAATTAGTAAATCTATTTTTTACGTTTGACGTCCCGCTTCTACACCATCTACTGGTTATACTACTTCCTCTCGGATCTTGAATTTTTCTGTCCTGGACTCATTGGCGTCTTTTTCTGTAGGTACTTATTTTCGGCAATGAAGCTACTTTCCTGATTGGCTGTCTTCGGCAACCACCCGGCTAGACGATGGTCATATGAGTGGTCAGTCTATATTTTGATCTGTATATCCTCTGGATCCGATTCTTGGCAAGGATATCTCTGGTCTTTGTGGTTATCGTGGCTTAATGGAAGAAGTATCTTTTTCATAGTCACCTCCCTTAGTGGTGTATACTGGAGAATTTCTTTGATGTTTGCCTTTGTTAATCTTTCTTCCCATGTGGATCCATCTATGATCCTGTAGCATGATGTTTCTGTAGCTTTTAGCTTCTTTCAGTTTTTTTCCGATGTGAATCTCCATACTAACACAGCGTACAAAAGTACCGATCTTCCGTAGGCCTGGTAAAACTAGATCTTATTGGCCTTCATTTTTGGACTGGACCTAACAATATACGGAAGTATTAGTTTCTCTGGAGCATTTCTTTTTACCTTGATTTGTTGAGTGTTCTTCGTGAAGTTGAGTGTCCTGTCGAGATGGACTCCTAGGTACTTGACTGAATCTTCTGATTGGATTACCCCCCCACCATTGTTATTTTCACTACTGGTGGACTTGTCTCCTGTGTGAACATGATGAATTGCGTCTTTTGGGTGTTGATCGTGACTTTCCATTTTTCGGTGTATTCTGTGATTCCTCCGAGGTGATTTTCTATGTTTTCGACTATTTTTCTGTCTTCTTTCATGTTGCATATATCGCCGTGTCGTGTGCGTAGAGGGCTGTACTTGTTCTTGGACTTGTTAATAGGTCTGAAACAATACTGTTGTAAAAAGTGGGCGAGAATATAATGCCGTAAGGCGTCCCTTCTTGGATTTCTTGAAGTCTGGACGTCTTTTGGTCGGCGAAAACTAAAAAGGTTCTATTAGTTAGATATGTGTCGTATATATTAACTAGGTATTGAGATAATCTAGCTCTACCCATCTTGTAGATAAGTGCCTTGTCTTCTATTTCCTGTTAAATCTGACATTCATGTCGCTGATAACTCTTGCTAGTTAAAATTCGTAGTTTCTTCCTCTACTGAATCCAAACTGGTCCTCCTGTATATTTAATTTTAATATTTAATTAGCCTTCTGTAGGCCCCGTAATGGGAATGAGTACACTCTAGGCCCTTTAAAAATAACGATACGGGACTCATCCGAGGCCCCGTACTCAGAATGAGTAGCCTTCTGTAAATTATTTTCTCCAGTATTTTTCTCATTGTTTTCAGTAGTGAGATTGGTCTGTAGGTTTCCGGTCTTCTTCCGTGATTCCTTGGTATTAGTAAAGGATAGTAGTTTCGCCTTTCTGTTGCGGCGGCTGCTTTTTTATATGGTCGAAGGCCCTCCATCTCTAGCGTTCATCGATGGAAGAGGAACTTCTGGTGGGGATGCGATGCATATCGTTAAAAAGTTAATAAATAATTAAAATCGAATGAAATTAAAATAAAATAACTATTTAAAGTAAAAATAACAAATATGTGACTTTTATAGCGTTACATAATCGCGCGCGTGTGTGTGTGTGTCTGTGTTGAGTACTTGCCTTTTTACCAAGTAAAGGCGGCTTCATTGCCTTTATGGTGTTATATATTCGAAAGAGTACCTCGGATTTTCTCGTTAGTTCTTTGTATTGTTTTCGGGATTTTTTATTTTCGAGATTTTTATATTGTATTGTACGATGTTAAAAAACATATGGTACTTTTTCTATGTTTACATCTCTTAAGAAATCTTATCACTTTCTATTTTTATCCTAATATTTTTAAATAATATCAATCATTAAAGACTTTTATACCTTGAAGCCAATCTATCATATTTTGTTAAAGAAACGTATTGATCATAGAAATTAAAATCTCAAGAAATTAACAAGCCAAGATTTAATATTTTTTAGGAGATTTGACGACTCATACTCAAAAATAAAAGAAAAAGTAAGACAAGGAGAAGTAGGCAAGGTACTAACAGTAAAAGTTTGTGCTAGGGATTCTCCATTACCTTCCATAGATTATCTTAAAACATCAGGTAAGTTTAGATAAATTATATTGGATAAGTATCTATATAGTGTGCTTTTAGATGGGATATTTAGAGACTGTGCTGTTCACGACATCGATCAAATTATTTCGGTTCTCGGAGAATATCCCAACAAGGTGTCTGTTTTCGCTAACGCAAATATTCCAGAAATACGCAACATCAATGACGTTGATACTGTTAGTATAATAATGGCATTTGATAGCGGAGCACTTGGTATAATTGATATAAGTAGACAGTGTGTCTATGGATATGATCAGCGATTGGAGGTAATTAAATAAATTAGTTATTTGGTTAGAAGCATTTTCAAAGAAGATGATCTTATTATATTTCCAGTATAATTTACCATAAATAAAAGTGAAATGAAAGAACAACGGTAATATTTACAACAAATTGTTAATCTAAATTAAGTATAACTTTAAAAAAATTATTTTCATGCTAGGTGTTTGGTGAGAAAGGCATGATCAAAGCTGAAAATAAATGTCCAATGCAAAATCTTGAAGAATATAAACCAGAAATGACAAAGAAATCTCCAATTTATTACAGTTTTGCATCTAGATATCAAGATGCTTACAAAAGAGAACTGGAACATTTCATGAACGTACTCGAAGGTAAGTTTTTTGGGTATTTATCTTACTTACATGTTGTTTTATCGATAGACGTATATCCGTTCTCATTCTTTCTTGATTTGTTTCTTTATTATTTAATTAGTGTGTTCTATTTATGTAAATGCTGAATCTGAAGAAGCTTAATAGACCAGGGTCGATAATTTTTTAAACCAAAAAAATTATAGTAGAATGAAACCTATTGAAAACGTCAAAATCTCAAATTCAAAATTTTGAAAACGAAATATATGGTCATTAGCAGAAACCCTTCGGAAAACCCGATAATATGCATAGGTGACAATCGTATAAATTGCGTGAAAACTTCTAAATACCTTGGCACCACAATCAATGACCAATCGGATCGACAACAAGAAATAAAAACCCGAATACAAATGGCAAGACAAGCTTTTGTGAAATTCACACCGCTCCTATGTAATCAACACCTAAACTTCGAAATACGCTACAGAATGGTCAAGTGCTATATATGGTCCATCTTGCTTTATGGCATGGAAACGTGGACTTTGAAAAAAACATCTATCAACAAACTCGAAGTATTTGAAATGTGGTCATTGAGAAGAATGATGCGCATACCTTGGGTGGATAGAGTTCGAAACGATGATGTCCTTAAGAGAGGCGGCGTGGAAAGAGAACTCTTTGAATTAATTAAAAAACGCAAGATTGGTTACCTTGGGCACATATTGAGAGGAGCAAAATATAAAATACCACAGTTAATCCTACAAGGGAAGATCGAAGGTAGGAGAGGAGCCGGCCGCAAACAATTATCCTGGTTAAGGAATATTAAAGAATGGACAGGAATACACAATATAGGTGATCTGTGTCACGCCGCCAAGAACAGAATTCTAGTAATGAGATAGTCGCCTACGCACTTGGCACTACGCACGCCTAAGAAACCAATTGGAAAAAGAAGAGAATATGCTAAAATTGTAAGAAAAATCCATCCTAGGTCGGGAAGTTGGAGGGGTGGGGGTTAAATGTAAAAACCGATTTATAGCAAATTTCGGCGAAACTACAAGTGCTATGGAAAAAAGTTAAATAGCAAAGTTGTAGGTAACAAAAAGATCTACAACTTTCGTATAAACACTTTTTCACATAACCTCAAAATTTTTGTGGAAAAGTTTTTGATTTTTTATTTTTATCTTTAAAAAAAAAATTTTACGAAATTTGGTGAAAACTTGCCTTAGTATGTACCAAACACACTGTAAGTTTTTGGAATTGAAAAATTTATTTTTTTACCTAATATTGATTTAATATCGAAAAAATACCCTAATTTTCAATCGAAAATTCACGCACCAGATATCAGCTTTTTTAAAAAAAGTCGGTGGGCTTTTTGTTTGTAAAAAAATTCTGTATTTTCTGATATTGTAAAAAATGTAATTGGTCATGTAGCTTAAGATTTCATGATACATTGATAAAAAAAAAATTATAAATCCACAAAACATTAAGATTGCAAAAAGACATGTGAAAATAGCTGTTAAAAATATTCAATATAGGATTTAAAGGAAAATTTATTAAAAAATGTGACTGCTACACGATTTTTTTTAATAATTAAAAGGCTGGTTTAAAAATGTTTAATTACATTTTTGTCATAGGCAATCTTACAATATTTATGATATATATATTTATCATAATATTTTTTAGATCATTAATTTTTGCCTCTTTGAAGGCATTGCTTTGAAGCTGATAATATGCCCTGTAAAAATGTTGTTCTGCTGCACCTTCTGTGGTGGGAGATTTGTCAATACGATTAAGTGTTAGCTTATCATTTTTGCACTTATAAATAGTTTTGATTAAGTGTAATCCATTTTTTGCGATATCTTGTTTATTTGCATCTTTTTCATAGAAAATGTTAGCCAAATTTGACAAATTTTAGCTTCTAATAATAAATTTACGATACTTTCCTTTCCTTTCCCGGCAAATCCAGATGTTGTATCGCAACCTAAAACAATGCAGAAATGCAATGATATTTTTCAGTGCATTCAGTGCAACGGATCGATTGCTATAATATCTCCGTTTACTTTAACGGAAGATTGAACGGTTTTTAGAAACAACACTTTGTTTTTTTTTTAAATTTGACACTGCCAAAATTCATTCCTAGAATAGCTTGTAAAGATTTTTCTCCTTCTTTATACGCTTCGTAACAATTTACAGAAGTAGTGCCAATAATTCCAGACAATATTGACATAATGTTATCATTCTCCGGAAAGGGATCATTATCTGTTGAAAAATTTATGTAATAGTTGTAAACCAGCTACATCTGGAAACATTACAAAAATCTTACATTTCATTGCAAACTTCCACAAGTATGATAATAGTTTATAGTTAATTGTACATAATGATGAAAAAGAAATTGTTTCATTCGAGTTTTCTTCGTTTTTTTGTGAACATTTCCCATAGTAATTTATATTTTTTACACTATCGGAAAGTAGAGATTTCAACGAAAAAAAGCCAACCGACTTTTTTAAAAAAAGCTGATATTTTGACTCGTGAATTTTCGATTGAAAATTAGGGTGCTTTTTCGATAATAAATCAATACCAGGTAAAAAAATAAATTTTTTAACCCTCTAGTGCATTTGGCCGCCTCAAGGCGGGCTTTCTTTAAGTTGTGATTTCAGGTACATACAATATTATTTTAACCGTATAGCACTGAACCGTCTACAGGCGGTGTTTACCGCATACAATGAGATATATTTTGACGTCTCTGCACGTGTTCGTTGTCAGCAAAATTCAGTTGAAGTTATGATTTCATCGGAAGCGGACGCATAATTGCTTTGTGTAAATAAACAGTTTTTAAAAATACTTCTAAAGGACATAGAGTTGTACAAAATTTACGGTGAGTACCTGTTAGCCTATATTTTAGGTATTTAGTGTTAGTTTATGCGATAAATAAAGTAAATTATTACAAACAGTTAAAAAATTAGAGGCTGCCTCAAGGCAGACCTAAGCATTACAGTGTATAAAATTGTTATTATGGTTTTTTTTTTAGTATTTTTCCTATTGTTCTTTATGTTATTTTTCTAAGTATTATGGTACAGTGAGTGTTTTTTTTTTTAGTAATGGCGCAAAAATGCTACAAATTGTCAACAATGTCGGATGAGGACATTAGAAACCTATTGGATTCCATTGATTCTGATAACGACACCGGTGATGAGGAAGAAGGGGATTTCGATAGCGATAGCGATTAGTAAGCTACCTAAGACTTCGCTTGGGAATATATCAATAACAGAGACCTTAGATGAGATCTCCGAAGTACAAGTTGCAGAAACTGTACCAACTCAACCTAGTGTAAGTGATACAGCTGCTTATCGTAGTTCCAACTGTCCGAAACGGCCTCAATCTCCAGAACTGGCAGATGAACAAGAAGAAGAAGACGGACGAAGTGTTTCTACTTCAGGAGACTTTACTGGAAACGTCATGACAATAAAGAACAACAGTCAAGAATTTAAGTCCATTACTTGGAAGAAGAAACACCTTCAATTACACATCAACGAATTGATATTTCACGGAGAAAAACAATTGCCAGACGATTTGAGTGCTTTGAACACACCATATGACTGTTTTAGTTATTTTGTGAACAACGAACTATTAGATGAGCTTGCTCTGCAAACCAATCTAGATCCAATTGAACTTCGCCAGTTTATCGGCATTTTGATCTTATTCTTATTGGGGCATCTTATTGGGGAAGACATGCATTTGAACAAATTCGCCAGGTAATGCTAGTATTGCGAATTGAGACAATTCGCCGTTATCTACATTTTAATGAGAATTCTGCAGCAATCGAGAAAAATCAAGCCCACTTATAACACATTTTAACGAAAGGTTCGTGTCAGTCCCAATGCTTTCCCGGCTTTGTGTTAACGAGAAAATGTGCGCAACAAAAATGACTGGAACTTTTCTTCGGCAATACATGCCAAATAAACCTCATAAGTGGGGATTTAAATTTTTTGCTCTTTGCGACTTTACTGGTTTTTCACATGCTTTTGAAGTTTACTGGGGTGCTGGTGATAACGTTTTTCTTGAAGGCGTTCCAGATCTTGGGGCATCGTTAAACGTCGTGGTTCGTTTGTCAAAACATATTCCACATTAATTAGTTAACCACATTGTGTATTTTGACAATTTTTACACCTCGTTAGGTCTTAGTACATATCTTCGCAGCCGAGGAATTTACAGTTTAGGCACTGTACGTGCAAATCGTGTACCCAATTGCAAACTTTCTACTGATGCTGCTCTAACTGAAAAGAAAGTGAACCGCGGGTATTCAGAGGAGTACGTTGGTAATGTTTACGGGATCGATATTTCGTCGGCATTGTGGCATGATACTAAAACCGTACGACTTCTGTCAAGTTACATTGGCACCAAGCGATTTGCATCCAGAAATATTGACACAGGACCACAAAAGGCCAGAAGGTGGAACAAAAAAGAGAAGAAGCACATTGAAGTAGATTGCCCTCATATTATTACAGAATATAATCGACACATGGGAGGTGTCGATTTGATGGATGGATTACTAGGGAGGTATCATATCCGAATGAAAACAAAAAAATGGAGTAATCCGATCTTCTACCATCTCATCGATGTAGCAATGGTAAATGCATACATACTGTATTATCGAATTCATCCCGACAGGCAAAAACTCGAACTCCCAATGTTTCAGACGGAAGTTGCTGAATCGCTATACAAGTACGGAGTAGTGCCAGAGAGAAGAAAGGTTGGGCGACCCAGCTCTTCAACATCTCAGGATTCTCCAAAATCAAAAAAGAAACTATACTTGCCAACCGAAGATGTCCGCTACGATCAGATTGGTCATTGGTGCATTTTCAAGGACCGAATTGGCAAAAGAAAATGCAAATTCCCAAAATGCACTTTGGAAATACAAGCATTTTGTGTTAAATGCAACTTATCATTGTGCAATTCAACAACGAAAACCTGTTTTTATGATTTCCATCATATGTTAGACACACTAATATAATTTTTGTACCTTTGTATCCATTGTTGTTTTTAATAAAAGTAACTACTACATGCTACGATTTTATGCATTTACTGCACAAGTCTGCCTATAGGCGGCCAACCCATTTTAGGCTGCAGGCTTTATTTTTATTATCTAAATTAAATTATAACAATAAATTTCTACTTTTTATAACCACATTTTTCTATTCTAAAATTATGAGGAATTTATTTACTTAAAATTTAATTCATGCACTAGAGGGTTAATTCTAAAAAATTACAGTCTATTTGATACATACTAAGACAAGTTTTCACTAAATTTCGTAAAAAAAATTTTATTTTTTTTTTAAAGATAAAGATAAAAAATCAAAAACTTAGTTTTTTGAATTTTCCACAAAAATTTTGAGGTTATGTGAAAAAAGTGTAAATACAAAAGTTGTAGATCTTTTTATTACCTACAACTTTGTTATTTAACTTTTTTCCATAGCACTTATAGTTTCGCCGAAAATCGCGATAAACCGATTTTTACCCTGAAGCCCCCCCTTCCCGACCTCGGATGAAGTGTAATTTATTTTTTCTTCCAAGTTTAGCATATTCTTCTATATCTTCTTCATATATCTTCTTCTTCACGTGCCATCTCCGCGACGGAGGTTGGCAATCATCATGGCTATTCTGATCTTAGATGCTGCTGCTCTGAATAGTTCAATTGATGTGCATTCGTACCATTCCCTCAAGTTACGCAACCATGAGATTCTTTTTCTTTCTACACTTCTCTTGCCCCAAGTCTTCCCTTGTATTATCAATTGAAGTAGATTGTATCTCTCATTACGCATAACATGCCCCAGGTATTGCAGCTTTCGTGTCTTGATGGTTTCCAATACTTCCATTCTTTTGTTGATTCTTCTCATGACTTCGTTGTTTGTTAATGCTCGGTCCATGATATCTTCAGGATTCTTCTTTTTAGCAGTCAACGCGTTAAGTGTCCATGCTTCCATCCCATAAAGCAGAGTCGAGAAAATATAGCACCTTCCCAGCCTAACTCCCAAGTCCAATTTTAGTTCTCTTGCACAAAGTACCTTTCTCATTTTATTGAAGTTTGTACGTGCTTTCTCTATTCGATATTTGATTTCTTTGCAGTAATCGTTTGTGTGATTAATTATTGTGCCAATATAGTGGTAGTTTTTGACTTGTTCTAAAGCACTACCGTTAATTGTCAGGCTTTCACCATTATTTTGGGTTTTTGATATCCTCATAAATTTTGTTTTCTTGGTGTTTATTGATAATCCATATTCTTCTCCATACTCAACTATCTTGTTCATTAGCTTTTGGAGGTCTTGGAGGTTGTCTGCTATTATGATAGTATCGTCCACATATGTAGGTACATAAAGACATATAATTTCTTAATATTCATTAAGAAACTCTTTCACTGAATAATATGGTCTTTTATATAGATAGGCTTTTGCTATTTTACGGAACAGAAAAATTTTCTTTTAATATTATTCGATTCAAATTTATCGACAGGTTTTATAAAGAATGAATATAAGTCTCGTATATTTAACTTTAATTTTAATTATATATCTTTGTGCATCTATATATTGTCATCATCATCATTAACAGCTATTCCATCCATCGTCGGTTATCAACCTTCCTTAGATGTGTCCATTCTTTCTGTTCGGGTTTTTTGCATCAATTCGCGACCAGCTATTCGGTTGATATTATCAGTCCATCTGATTTGAGGTCTGCCTTTATTTCTCTGTTGTGCTCTTGGTTAATATTCAACAATTTGCTTCGTTTTTAGTATTTTTGCACTCAAGTAATATTGAGTAACAATGCTTTTAATTGGGTGAATTCCAGATAATAAATCGATGCACAGAGCTCCCAAACATAAGCTATATTCGACATCGTCATATTACTGTCGATATAAAGCTCCTTATCACAATGGAATAAATCTGAAATATCCCTGAAAGCTTGTTCAAATACGGTAGTATTTGTTTTTTGCTTATATAATTTACATAACTGTCTATCTTAATAGCCAGTCTAGACTATCGTGGCTTTCTGATTTTATAGACCGATCTTCTTCTTCTTCAAGTGCCCTGTCCGTTGCCGTTGGCTATTAACATGGCAATTTTGATCTTGTTTGCGGCGCTTCTGAATAGTTCGACCGATGTGAGCCCGAACCACTTCGGCAGATTTTGGAGCCACGAGTGTCTTCTCCTGCCTGGCCCTCGCTTACTGTCTATTTTTCCCTGGACAATCAATTGTAGCAGACGGTACTTATCGTATCTCAATATGTGGCCTAGATATTAAGCTTTCTTTGTTTAATTGTATTCACGATTTCTTTCTCCTTTCCGATTCTTTGGAGTACCTCTATGTTTGTGACATGTTCGGTCCAGGATATACGAAGAATGCGTAGGTACACCCACATTTCAAATGCTTCTAGTTTTCTCGTTAGCGTCTCCGTCAGCGTCCAGGCCTCCACGCCATACAGCAAGATCGGAAAAATATAGCATTTAACTAGACGTAGTTTTAGGGGAAGAGACAAATTCTTGCTTTTGAGGAGCTTTTTCATATTGCTAAATGCTGCTCTAGCTCGTTCTATTCTCGCCTTAATTTCTATGACCTGTTCCCATTTTGCATTTACGTTGGTGCCAAGGTACACATAAGATTCTACATGGTCAATTAGTATGTTACTATTTGTCTGATGTACATAGAATCTTTAATATTTCGCAGGGTACATTGTCCGACCTGCTGACTTATTGTTTTTTAGTGCCGCAATGGCATCTTCTATCTCCGATATAATGGGTCCTGTTTCTCCTTCTCCATATAGGTGATCATCAGTCCTGTCAGATGCAAATAATTTTTCTATGTATGATTTCCATGTTTTTAAGATCGTTGATGGCTCCGAAATAAGATTTAAATCGCTATCTTTTATGCTGTTGGGTGACTTATTGAATTTCCTCTTATAGACCGATATGTTTGAGATATCTCTGTGTCTTTAAACAAGGTTTGTAGAATCTGTGCGATTGAAAGTACAGATCTGAGGGAGCTGTCTAGAGCTGAGAGAGTCTTGGTATTGGTGTCATATTCTTCTTCTGTAGGTGCCATCTCTAATAGAGGTTGGTAATGGCTTCTGCAAATTCGCCTCTATCCTATTGTTTACAATTGAAATATGAATTATGAATATGATTTTGGCAACGTCAAAATCTTTATTTTTTTTTTTGTTAGTGTATTATGCACAACGGTTTTATTTATTTTGTTTTTGTTTTAGGAAAAGATAAACTTCTTATAACTGGACAAGATTTATTAAATGTATTTAAAATTGCCATAGCGTGTGAAAATTCTTGGAAAACTGGACAAACTGTACCATTAACATGGAGCAAGACAGAATTACAATAAATCATTTAATAAAACTGTAAATAAAATGAAAATATTTTGATATTTTTCAAATATACATTTATATTCCTAATTCATCATCAGACACTTGGGATGATACAAATTCAAAAATTTTTATTCCCTTGTTTGTCACCTTTATGTCTAATTTATTTTTGTTGAGATGTTTTACTTCTTTAAATTCTAAAGTTATTGGATTCTGATAAGCTACTCTATCTTCTATCGATTTCTATTTATTAGAATTCCTCTTTGTTATCATTGCTCTCCTATCTCTTCTAATGATGATTAATATATTTGCTCTAATCAACCGATGGTCACTCCCAAAAGTGATTTTATTAATTACTCTAACATCTTGGACAATATTTTTTCTGTTTGTGATTATGAAATCAATTTCGTTTTTTGTTATACCGTTTGGTTTTTGTTTGTTACAAGGAGTTTTTTTTTTGTTAATTTGTTAAATATACTCCTAGTTTAAGATTTAAAATAAAATACTTGATTTATGGTTTCCCTTAACACTTAAGTCCTCCAATAAAGATTAGATTTTTATTGTATTAAATTTTTTTTTATTAACTGCTTTTTTACTGATCACATATTGTGCATGCAATTGTATGTTGGATGATTGTTTATCCGTTCATTGTTTAGTGTTGTATGTATTCAAACATTTATTGAAGGTAATGGCTTATTGTTTTTTTTAATATTCAACCATAATTTATCTTATCTCTAGTAATTTGTTCTGTTGAACTAAGTATCAATCTCAAAAGCTAGTTTCGAACCCACGACTTGCTCTCTACCAACCATCTAGTTGCATGTGTCAGTATATTCAATGTTAGAAACGAACTTAAAGTCATTACTAAATGAACTTATAACAAAATTTAAAATGTTATATATAGGGTAAGTGTGTATAAGAGCACGCATGTGTATAAGGGTACGCACCTCTATATTACGATAACCTTAAAAATCTTTATGAACTAAGGCAATACTTTCCAAGTTCAATATATAACATGGATGAATCGAGTTTATCAACTGTGCCTAATAAGTTAGCCAAGACATTAGCGAGCAAGGGAAAGAAACTTGTAATGAAGGTAGCTAGTGCAGATCGTGAACAACTTGTAACGGCTGTATGTTGCATGAACTCCACAGGTAACTATATATTCCTCCAGCACTCATATTTCCCAGAAAAAGAAAAAAGGAAGATCTGTTTTTAAATGCACCATGTGAAACTCTGAAATTCATTTCAGAATCTGGATGTATCAACACGGATCTTTTTTGTAAGTAGTAAATCCATTTTAATAAGTTTGCCAAACTCAGTACTGAAAACAGAGTTCTTTTATTTCTCGACAATCACAGCTCTCATCGTGACCTGCAAGCTAATATTGCCGGGAGGATCACATCAATCTTTAATCTCTACCGCCTCATTCAAGTCATAAACTACAGCCCCTGTATATTGTTTTTTTTGTCCTTAAAAAAAACCTACAGTAGGGAATGTGACAAGTGGATGGTAAGTAATCCAGGTAAAGTAATTTCACAATTCAAATTGCTGGATTATTTAGTACTGCTTATGGTTCTGTGGCAAATATTCAAAAGGCCGAAATTTCTTTTAAAGCATGGGGAATATATCCGTTTAACCCTGATCAGTTTCATGACATGGATTTTACCCCTACTATGTTACCGAAGTACCTTTGGATAATCCAGTAAGCGCGGTAGTAGATGATACTTCAAATGGAGTCCGTGTAGAAGAAGGAAATAATAGACTTCAGCTTCCAATACCATCTGAAGTAATACCCCCTACAAAGCAGCTTGAGAATAAAGATGATCTAATCTCTTTTCACGTTACACAGCCACTCGATGTGGCTAATCTTGATATCGAATGCGAAGATGGTGCATTAATATCATCACAAGCTAGCACTAATAGCTTAAATATGTCAGTGTCAGCAGCAGAGATTTTATCATTATCCAAAATTAAAGAAAAGCCTAATCGACGCAAAACAAAATCTCAGAAGTTCGAAATACTTTTCAGTAGTCCATATACAAAAAAACTTTAGAATTTGGAAAAAACCAAAGAAGTAGAACAAAAAAAGAAGACGGAACGATTAAAAGAAAATTAGTGCCTAGTTGTAGTAAATCATTGCGCAAAGTTCAAAAAGGGCATAAAGAAAATGAACCTGATGTAACGTGTACAGGATGTAATGAATTATATTCAAATTCTGTTGAAGACTGGATCATCTGCTTTCAATGCAAGAATTGGTGACACGAATCTTGTAGGACTTACGTCAATCAATTGCGTTTTTACCTTGTTTTAAGCTCTATGCTTCTTCAAGGGTGGGTTTGTTTATTTGGGTGCTAATGCTTGTTTGGTTTGAATGCCAGTATTCGTTCGTATGACTTCAGTTGGACTCCGAAGACTAGGGGCGCCGCCGCTAAAAAAGGTGTAGGATGAGGAGGAGGACGGGAAGAATACCGAGATTAAGAAGAAGGCAAGAGGCGGAAATCGTACTTTCCGGAAGAGTACGATTTCTGCCTCGTGCCTTCTTCTTGTTCTCGGTATCCTTCCCATCCTCCTCCGGACGGGAACAGCAGACTTCGTGTGTTTTAACTGTGAGGAGTAGCAATGGATTTTAAGGTGAAATAAAAATGAGTTCTAAAACATACCTTTCGTATTCCTTTTTTTCGTTTATTTTAAAATAAAATTTGATTTTTTAAATGTCTTAATATTTTTGTACACTTCAGTAATGTGCGTACTCTTAAACATATAGATGCGTACTTTTATGCAAATTTGTGTATGAGTAAGCATTAGCAGCTTCGCAAACAAAATTAAATATTTCTTATTTGAATACAAACATGGTTTAAAACTATTCTAAAACATCTTTTTAAATGGTTGATTAACAATGTGAGGAATGATAAATAGTCCATTTTCGTAAAAATAAAAAAGTGTCGCACTTTTAATATTAAGTGCATACTCTTATACGGAATTACCCTAATAATAGTTATCAATCCACCAAATTGAAAATAAAAAATATTTTAATAGACAACGAGCTTTAGTGTTATGAGTATAATATATAATTAGCTATCTGATATTGTTCAAATACAACAGCTGAAATTCGTAAAAATTGTAGTTCACACCAATTGCGGTCTACAATAAACATTTTTTACGTTGTTTGTCGGCCTCCTGTACAAACAGAACGTATCATGTTGTCACGTGTGTAACGAAAGCTTTTTGATTGCCCCGGCGCGTGAAATTGACAACGGCCATTAAAGAACTCCCAATTCCCTTTGACTATAGGGTGTGCACACTATTGCATTAATATGCCACTGTCCCCATCAAAAAATTTGCATTTCAAGCTTCTCAAATTCTAGTAGCATTATGCCACCGACCATAATATAGAATATTAATTTTTTATTGATTGTTGAGGAGATGATTAATTTGAGATTCGTTTGTATCTGGTCGTATTCAATTATTTATACAGTGTCAGATTATACTATATCGCACCTCTGTTGCAATACCGTCATCAGTAAAAATTGGTAAATTTTACAAGAGAGCAGTTTAAAGTTTTACTGTTCAATAAAACAACTTGTAGAGAAACTAAAAAACGTATATGGTGTTATTTTTGTTGATACATTGCATTCTTTATAATCTTATTGTGACTGTAGAAATAAAAAACAAGCAGTAACTGTTCTGAAGCTATTTTCTTGTGGCATTTTAACCCGTCGGTGACGTCCGATTTTAGGAACATAACCGGTGACGTGGAGTCTCCGGGACTCATCATAAATATGCTGGTCTCATTCAAATTTAAATAATTATTTTATCACATTGTTTACAATAATCTGTTCTTTAGGCATTTTTGCAATATCCTATTGCCTTTTTAGTTCTTTCTGTTACTGACTATTCTTATTATTAACATTTTTGTCAAAGTTGCAAATAAATAAAGTACGGTGTTACGTCGGAAAACTTAATTTTTTTTTTAATATTTCTAAATTTGGTATGTACAAATGGTTTTAATATTAGGTATAAAAAATATTGAATAATCTATGGTAATAAAAATTATCATCAGTAGTCTAAACGTAACGGAACGTGCAGGGGGTAAATAAGGACAAAAAAATGGGATTATTTTTTTTTATTCTTTTTGAACGTTACAGTTTCTGCATATTTTATTAGAACAAATCAAGCAAATTGGTTTTTTACAACAGACGCATAAATAAGATGTCTTCCTATAAAGTTTTGATGGGCAAATGTAGCAATACTTTCGAACTGCTAACCGATCTTCTTGAATAGAAGGAGGTTCAACCACGCACAGTATTCGCTTTATGTTTTCTCTTATTTCTGTCGGGAGTCTGCTCTTATACATTCGTTGTTTCATGTGTGCTTCAATTAAGCTTTTAGCCAGTACCTTCATAAAATCTTTCTTGTCTAAGGGTTTGGATTCTCTATAACATTGATACATAACGAAAGCGTTAACTGTACTCATATCTAGTATTTTGTAAAATATAGCCATTGGCCAACGTTGCGTTCTTCTGGACGAACTGTAAACCATACATTTTTCATCCAAAGCATCAACGCCGCCTTTCGTCATATTATACAGACTAATTATTTCTGGTTTTTGTGTTTTTTCATCTATGGCTATACTATGATGCATGGAGGATAATAGTATGATGGCTTTGTTTTTTTAGGAACATACGAAAGAAGGGTAATGTCTTTTGTAAAACCGTATCTAACTGAACCAATCTCTATATGCCTTTGAGGAAGAAACTCAGGAGGAATATGTCTTTTGACCTTTTTCATAGTTCATACATATCTTAGGCCATTAGATTTCAACAACTGAACTAGTTCTATAGACGTGAACCAATTGTCAGCTGTCACATTACGATTACTGCCAAATAATGGCTTAGAAAGCCGTAACACAGATTGAGTAGGTTTAGCAAGCTTTTTCTCAGTTACTGAAAGGTGACAGAAGTATGACAATGAATGAGATTAGATGTACAAATTGTGTGAGTGTGCAATTCTTTCAACTTGTAATTATCAAATTTCTTTGATAAAGTTCTATTGACTTACATATGGCAAATGACTGTAAAGTCCAGTATATAAAATTATTAAAATTAAAACAATTAATGACAATTTAGGACACACAGAAAACACTTAAAAGAGGGACGAAACAAACATTAAATTTAAAAAAGGGGAGGACCTGAACGCACTACATCTCTGACTTGGAGACACAATTTTTAATTATTTCTATACTATTGGTAGGTTGAATATTCATATCAATTTTACTATTCACATGGAAATTTTTAACAGTTACATTAAAGGATTTTGCAGCTCTAAACTTCTATTTTCCAGTATTACTATTGACTGTTATTCAGTTACATCTAAAAATTACAATAATGTAAAATTAAAATAGGTAGAACATGAGGGTAATCACCTTTATTGATAATTGACTATGTCTCCATTCTCGGTAATATCAAGTTTTGCACATGCTCGACTGGCACAGGAACAATTTCACCTACAATGTGAAAATACAAAATTATTCAGTACGTTACCAATTAGAAAATTTCAAAGAATCAAATTTTTCTAGTAAATAATCATATTTATTGATAACTTAATCTATAATTTATGACAACCTTATAGTATCAAAATATAATAGCTTTTACAATATAATACATACCAGATTTTATTCCAGCGGTCTGTAAACATAGTTCTAAAATGCGTTTAGCTCTTCCACAATTACTCATGATATAAGTATAAAGTTGTATATTTGGTGTTTAAAAATAGTACAAGCAGACTGCAATAAGAGTACTTAATACATTTTGCTAGTAAATAGAACAGTCAAACTGACTTATGAATTTTTATCTGCTATTTTAATAAGTATGAGTTGGTGTGATTTTGCAGTAAATATAGGTTACCTTTTATATACGTGTGTATTAATAGTTGTTATCAATAGGTCTTCGAAGACACTTCGTCTCAGGACCATATAACCTATACCGGGTCATACCTTGCCATGTTACCAATTCCAACGGTAACTTAAACATCCTAATTTGTAATGATATATAATGTAAAACAGCTATAAATTTATAACATTTAACGGGTTTTTAACCATATATTTTGGTGGCTCATAGCATGTATACCCCGTTTACACTGATGATGGAATTAACATTCCCAAAACGTTCTGTAATATAATTGTGATAGCACGTTTGGGCATTTTATTATATACCTTTTATAAAGGGTTTGAAATAAAAATTTTTATTGTCAACAATCGAAAAAATTGAATATCACATAGAAACAGTTTCATTCCACTTTTGTTGTAGTTTTTAAAAGAATCCACACTGTATATCCTATTCACATGAAATAAAATCATTAATTTGATCCATAAAATCCCCATCAGACTTTGTTCTGATAAGCCAACCCCCTCGC